TCTCAGATTTTTTTTGTGTGGGACGAAAGCAGCATTTCTCTCTCTCTCTCTCTCTCTCTCTCTCCCCCTCCCCCCCCCCGGGGCAAGCAATGTAAAATTTTAAAAAATACCCTTAATTCTTTGGTGGCATCTGTCAAGATGTTGTTATTAGAATTGATGATTCTGAAATTATGAATAACCATGTTAGGAATGCAAACGCCACCCTCGATTTATTTCGATAGTAAGAGCATTGACAAAATATCCTCGCGGAACAGTGATGCAGGTAATTGGTAACAAGAATAATACGTCTTTAGTCGATAGTAATCTAGTTTGTATTTGGTCTCTTTCTTCCATACATCCATATAGTGTGTAACTATATTAAGAAAATGCCAGTACTTGATTAATTTCCATATAGTGTTTAACTACATTAAGAAAATGCCAATACTTGATTGAATTCCATATACTGTTAAACTATTTTAAGAAAATGCCAGTACTTGATTAATTTCCATATAGTGTTAAACTATTTTAAGAGAACCCCAGCACTGGTGTATTTCCATATATTGGTTAAATATTTCATGGAAACCCCAGTACTGATTTATTCCCCATCCTAACAACCTAGCTGCGCGTGTTATCCCACCCCCAGAGAAGTAACATCACCCGATACCCAGGTCGTGTGAGGGAACTGATTATCCTTTAACTGGTTTCTTCTCTGAGCAAGATCTGGGTCAGCGATAGAAGTCATCTAATACCCCGGGCCGTGGTACTAAAGTACTTACTAATCCCCCCCCTACTCCAGACTCCAGCCCCCCCCCCCCAACCCAGCAACTAAGAGGCTAGGAGGCCTGATACTAATTTCATTCCCCCCTCCACCCACCCCAGCCCCCGGGGAAAAAAATAAAAAAATCACCATCTCAGTTATGTATTGATGATTCGATTATTGTGAAGAATGTCAGTGGCGAATCCAGAAAAAACATGAGTTTTTTTTTTTTTTTTTGGTTGTGATGGGGTAGAATGTGTTAGAAAATAGCTTTTATGACATTAGAAATAAAGTCCATTTAAAATATTCTCATATACGCCTTTGGTTCCCATAAAGACATTGGACACACAGAGCTACGGAACCCCACCCATTCGTCCCCCTACCCCTTTTTCCGAATCCGCCGCCACTGATGATGGGTCTTTGGTTATTTGTTTGAAGTTACTAGTTACTATCAGTAGTTACGTGGGCGGAGCCACAGTGATTGGTTCCTGGGCTATTTCTGGTTGTCAAGGGCTTCATACTGATGTTGGCTGAGCTGTTGAACAAGCTCCTGCATGGCTTTGTTGGGTTAGTCTTGCTTTGGGAGTAGGCTTACTTGTCCACACATAAAGGGGGGGGGGTGTCTTCTGTTTAACTTCGTCCACGGCCACACTCTAATCATGGTACTTTAATTTTAGTACTGGTGATGTCACGTTTGCATTAACGTCCAGATATATTTGCGGCCATAAGCGATAACTTAATGTTGACGGTTTATTCATGTGCTCGCTCTGGGTGGGCTGTGAATTTTTACAGCAATGGACGTAACTTTCAGAAATATAATTTCAGTTTGCATCCAGTAGAAATGAAAAACAAATTTCATCAAGTGTGCTTAATTTAACTATACGCGGGTTTGGGTCTTATCGTTGGCAGACTGTAAAACAATAGCGTGTATAAAAACAAATGTATTAAGCAAAAACATATTTTTTTAAAAAATCATTATGGAATTGTAACTGACGTAACATGAAAAAGACAAGATTTGAGTAATCTCCTTTTTTTTTTTTTTTTTTTTTTTTTCCCATGAAATCTGCTTTAATTGAGATTTTTTTCTTCTTCAAATTTATTATCTCTGTTGTCAGTTTTTACTTTTCCAAATGACAACCTTTAAAAAACTACATGCAAAGCACTTTTTTTGAAACAAAAAAATACAGTCAAAATAATGTATCTGACGTAGCATGACTTTGTAACTAGCGTAACGTGTCTGCAAGCAATCGGCAATAGGATCAAAATTTGGCATTCTTTTTTTTTCAGATTTACAAATGCGTCACTGTAGCTGTTGACCAACTGAAATAAACTCAAATAACCGTGTTTTAATGCGTGTCCGTCGTGTGGCAGTCACCATGACAGTGAAACATTTTTCTGTGTATTAGATGTCAACAGAATAAAAAAAATTTGAACAAAATGTGCTGACACCATGTTCTTGATTCAAGATGGGCGCCAGGGCACGTGTCACACACAAGAAATATTCATGTACTGAAGATCACTCCATCACCAAGGTGCCGTGCAATACATTTAAATAGCCCCAGGCCCAGATTTTTTTTTATAGATTTGCAATTTAATTTTTTGATGTTCTTTCCAATTTTTCATGGAATTCAACAATAACACCGTGATTGTTGATTTGGGCTTGGTGGCCTCCTTTAAGATGGTGGCTCGCCGTTTCTGTGACACCCATGGAACCGCCCGACAGCCTCCACCAGTTCGTTTATCTGTTAATCCATGGTGTTGGTTTATTTTTGTTTTTTAAAAAAAGTGCACGCGTGTTGCTGCGGACTTAGTCCCATGTGCCCACCGATAGCCTGATCCACCAAGGCGACAAATGAAATGGAACGTGTTTTGTCGTAGGCATGATTAAAAATACCCCAACCCTCAACCCACCCCAAAGTAAATGATATTGGAACCAATGAAAGATGAATGTCCTTTAGTGATGACTTCATTACCCTTAAGACAGTGGTCGGCAAATCGCGGCTCGCGAGCCACTTGCTGCTCTTTAGCGATCTGAGTCCGGCTCGGCCACAAATCAGTTTTGACTCCGAAAAAACGTGGTTCTTGACAGGCTCTTGAAAAGATGGCTCTCAAATTTTTTTTTAATCGTCTGCTGATTTTGTCTCCTTACACTAATGAGTTTTCCTACCACTGCCCAAAAGAGAACACGCCCATCCCCAGCTCCGAGGCATGCTTGCATCTGCTTAGAATGTCGCCCACCCCGAATGTTCCGCTTAGCGATTCAGCTACCAGATACTAGTAAATTTAGAATAATTTACAATTTTCTGTTCATGCTTTTTACAAAAAAAAAATTCATTGTAAAGAAGGTTTCATGAAACACGGCTTAAGAAAGGCAGTCCTCTTCAAACCTATTAGAGGTGGATGAATAAATTATGTTTTACCGGCACACGAGTAGCTTTACTGTAAATTTTAAACCAGCTTCTTCCAATGTGAAACATTAAACTAGCCTTCTGGCGTGTCAGGTCTATAAATAGCACAGGTTCGAGCGAGAGTTGGTTTACATGCACTGATGATATATTATTATAAAAGATTGGAATTATCTCTGACAGATGATGGAAGTACAAAGCACATCGTGCTTGGTTACGGGTTTGCTTAATCGGCACTTTAATAAGCATTGAAAAAACATGTATCAAATAGCTGCCTTTCATGTCTGCAATAGGTTAAGGATTTTTACTGATATATTTACGGAAATAGTTATTTATGGATCAAATTTAATCCCTGTTCCGGCTGGCATGCATCTTAAAGGTATGAACTGGAATACTGTTTTCAGTGTTTTTCTGACTGATAATTTTGGAGTATAATTTATTTTTTTGTTTAAAAAAAAACCTCCTGAAAATAAATTTCATAAGTGTCTTGTCATTCCAGTTTTTTTCCCCTCTGTTACATGTTTGTGAATTTCAAAGATTTGCCTTTTCTAGCAGCATTTCTTTACTAATAAATTATTCAGTCCTAGTTTTGCCTGATTTAAGGTAAGCCGATAATCAAGTCCAGAGACAGCTTACCTCCCACACAGAGCCGGGGAATGTAGTGTATTCATGCTATACTATATAACTTTCATGGTATTCATGGGTCTGAGGACTCACAGGGCTGCAAACAAAAATGTTACAAAAACACTCAAACCCTACCCCACACGATTATTTTTAAGTGTAAAAAAGTTGAGATAGGATAACTTCAACAATTAATGTGTTGTGGGCTCTGTTATTTAAAAACTTGAGAGCCTCTTCAATGTAAGAGATAAAAATTACATTCTGTCATGTATTCTCACCTAATAAATTATAATCTTTTCTAATATTATGTCCAATTAATTTACTTAAATATAGTTAATGTTTCTTGTTGCTACAATCCAGTTCAATATCACACTTCCTATTATATTTTCAGTGGAGAATGTATGGTTGAAATAACCAGATTACGTTCAAATATCCTGAATTGAACTAAATGTGCCCAATAAAAAGCTATACTTTGGCAACAGCATACTTTATATAAATTTGTTTGTGCATTTAATCAGATCTCTAGACGGCAGACTTCAAGTGTTTCACCGTAAAGGTCTCCCTCACGTCATATACTGTCGACTGTGGCGTTGGCCTGATCTCCAGAACCACCAAGAGCTCCAGCCTGGTGACCGCTGCGAGTACGCCTTCCACCTGAAGAAAGACGAAGTCTGTGTCAACCCTTACCATTACGCACGAGTGGAAGTTGGTCAGTGGGAAATCTTTTTTATTTTTTTATTATTGCTTTTCCTGGGCAAAAAAATCCAAAGATGTGTTTGTCTTCATTTTGCTATCTTCTTAATTGTCATTCTGTGGTTATTCTCTGTTTTAAAACCCTTATTGACTTGATTGTGTCTCCTAACATTTCTTGATGCAGAAAACTTTATGATAAAGAAAAATTTAATCAACTGCCACGACAACCTATTTTTTTTTTCCACAACAGCTTTGCCACGAGTCCTCGTGCCTCGGCACACAGAGATCCCAGATATCCTACCCAAACTTGAAGACTACAGTAATACCATACCCGAAAACACGGATCTCCCAACCAACAGCAGTATCAATGATACTACCTTCAATATATCGGGTTAGTGTCTCTCGTAACTTGTTTGTAGCTGTCATCAAATAAGTCATTGCCGTAACATTGCATTATCAAAATGCCTTTAACCTCACAGTTTGAAAAATGTATGACATTCTGGACTAGCCAGTTGCTATGCCACACACTTTTCAATATGGTACCAATAGATTTATAGCAAACATGCATGCCTCATGATTTATTTATTTTTAAATCAATCAAATGTACAACATATTCTTTAAAATGTTGAAAAGAGTATTGAAGATGTATTCACCAAACTCAACAAAATCATCTTAAAAGTAATCCAATCATTTTCCCACAGATACACCCTCCCCGGGGTATCTGAGTGAAGAAGGGGACACAACCGACAGTCAGGGCATGGGTAAGTTTTATAGTTATAGAACTTTCTATCTTTTGATGAAATTTACGCCATCTCCACCCAGAGAGCCAGTACAGACCTGCATGTTTTCACCGGTAGGGTAAATTTATTTTTAGCATTCAGATAATGCAGACTTACATCATCAAGATCTTTCAGATTTTTACTTTTAGTTCCTTGGATGTGGAATTTAAAAATAACAAAATACCGAAGTCACAAAAGTGATGGACAAAAACTAATTTATTTATTTTAAAAAGTTTTTAACAAAATATGTAAGTTGCAGAAATGATCAATTGTAAAAAATAATTTCCTTTTTTTTTTTGTGACTCGCAGAATAATAAATATAACAAATGACACATTTCTTGCAATATTCTTGTATAGAAGATTAGTTTACCTGCCATTATAAATTGCAGAATTATGATAAACTGCAATAAAAAAAAAAATACAATTTGATTTTTACTATTAAAAAAATCATGTTGATCATCATAAGTGCTGCTTAAGATAAGTTTCATAATATGCCGAAAATAGATTTTTAAAAAATGTGCATGTAATGTCAAACCTAATAAAGAATTAAGGAGTTTTAAAAAAGAAAATTACATTTCAGATGGCATAGACATGTCACCCAGCCCACCTCCATTAGGTAAGTTGCTAAAGTAACTGTATACACTTCCAATAATGGACTTAGATGAGTGTGAATATTCCGATGTCCTTGGTGAAAAAGAACTAGTATGAGTCCATCATTAATGTTTTGCAAAAAGAAAATGAATTGATTTCAATAATATTAATTTTAAATGAAAGTCAGAGAGTTTAACTTAGACCAATTTATTATGCAAAAGTATAGTAGTCATCATTCTTAACAAAAGTATGGTAGTCATCATTCCTAACAAAAGTATAGTAGTCATCATTCCTAACAAAAGTATAGTAGTCATCATTCCTAACAAAAGTATAGTAGTCATCATTCCTAACAAAAGTATAGTAGTCATCATTCCTAACAAAAGTATAGTAGTCATCATTCCTAACAAAAGTATAGTAGTCACCATTCCTAACAAAAGTATAGTAGTCATCATTCCTAACAAAAGTATAGTAGTCACCATTCCTAACAAAAGTATAGTAGTCATCATTCCTAACAAAAGTGTATTGACATTAGTTAAATCCCATAACAACTGGTAACACTAAACGTAGGCGGCCATGTTTTAATGCGTTAAAACATCTTTCCACATTGGTGGTTAGGTTGTTGTTTTTTTTCTCACTCTGGGTTTACACACACACACTACCCGGACAAGAAAACCTGGTTTTCAGGGCCGATAGGTCAGTTCCATCAGTCTATCTGTCCATAAATAGATGGAAAGGATGTCGTTGAAAAGAAAGTTCTACGACTCAGTGGTTGTGTGGCAAATGCACACCCATTGCACCACATTGTTGTAGTCTTGTGTTTGCAAAAATTTAATTTATAATGTCCCGTGTTGTACTGTCTTTAATTTTCATTCTTTCCTCTTCATGGTTTCATTTCTTGAATTTGTAAAAATAATTTTGGTTGTAATTAGACTGTTTATCTGACACTGTCCTAATTTTTGGGCATTTCGGCTTTGATGTTTTTCCTCCTTTAGGCTGTCAGACTTGTTCTGTGATGTTTTCCCTCATAAGGAATATCAGACTTGTTTTCTAATGTTTTCCCTCAATTAGGCTATCATGACTGTTTCTGGTGTTTTCCCTCATTTTGGCAATCAGGCTTGTTTCTGGTGTTTTTCCTCATTTAGGCTACCAGACTTGTTCTCTGATGTTTTCCCTCATTTAGGCTATCAGAACTGTTTCTCATGTTTTCCCTCAATCAGGCTATAAGACTTGTTCTTTGAAGTTTTACCTCATTAAAGATATCAGACTTGTTCCCTTTCCTTCTGTAGACAACAACCCTGAGATGCAGCCTGTCACATACAAAGAGCCTGAGTACTGGTGCTCCATAGCTTACTATGAGCTGAACATGAGGGTTGGAGAGACGTTTCATGCCTCCCAGCCATCACTCACTGTGGATGGCTTCACAGACCCCAGCAACTCTGAACGATTCTGTCTTGGTCTCTTGTCCAATGTCAACAGAACTCAGCAGGTGGAAATGACACGTCGACATATAGGTGAGAATGATGGAATTCATTTGTATCTAGAAATTTGCTAAATTAAAAAGTCATAATTCTAGAGTGATACGATTTGTCAAAGTCTGTCTATAATTATCTCATCCCATTTTAATAAGTTTGTAATTTAGATTTATTTGTTTAAAAATGTCATTGAATTTGTTTAAAATAATAAAATTCTTTGTGCTTACTAATTGAAATATAGTACAGGACACGGCAGTTAAATTAGTTTTTTAAATTTATTTCTTTTATTTAAAGAAATCCTTGTTAAAATTGTAGGATCATTCAAAAATGTTTTCTTATTCAAATGGTCATTATTATTTCTGAGTAGTACTGACCAAGATTATGTCTACAAAAGTCTGAGAAGCTGGATTTTCTAAAATTGACCAATATTATGTCCAAAAAAAATACTAGTGAATATTTAGAAAATTATTGAACACAAACATCAAAGTAAATAAAATAAAATTGCAAGCATATTTAAAACACCTAATAATACCCTAAAACAGGCCTGCACAATATATGGCCCAGCACCCACTTTTCGGCCCGCGAAGAAACGAAATATTCTTTATTCTTATTATTTTCTTAATAGCTTTCTGCACTGTTATATCTTCTTTTGGCCCGCATTAGTCCTGCCCTATTTTCTTTTGGCCCGCACAAGTTTTTTATAAAGTATTACGGCCCACCTTACATTTTGAGTTGTGCAGGCCTGCCCTAAAATGTACTTGAAAGTGTATTACATTAATGGCGTTCTCAAGTCTGCAAAGCTATGATTATTATTGGAGGATGGAATGTCACAATTTAATTAATTTTAACAGTTTGAACTATTGCTTTTAAATATTCTGTGGCCCACAGAGTTGGCATTGCTCTACAGCACTTGTTTACATTCTTCAATTTCAAATCATCTTGATGAACTTAACCTATATTAGCATGTAAAACATGATCAAGTAAAATGGAAACCCCTAACTTACATTTTTTACAATTATGAATAGATTTTTAATGTAGGAGTAATTATAGTTGACTAGAAAAAAGCTTTGAAATGCATGCCATGCACAATGGTTGAGTGGTAGTTAAAACAAAATAGCTCCCGGGATTAGCTTCATGAACGATTTTTGTCCAATAACTTCCACAGGGAGAGGAGTGAGACTGTACTACATTGGGGGTGAGGTGTTTGCCGAGTGTCTAAGTGACAATGCCGTCTTTGTTCAGAGCCCAAACTGTAACCAGCGCTATGGCTGGCACCCAGCAACAGTCTGTAAGATACCACCAGGTATGGCCATGGCTCTTTACATTAGAAGACATCCTTATTTTTCTAACTGAACCTTCCAGCACAGTACACATTTGTTCATTGCTAACTGTTTTCCCCCAGTACAAATTTGAATTTAAAAAAATGTAAATAATTTTTTTTTATTGTGATGCAAAACAGTTGACGAACCATTTTTAATTTGTTGTATTACAAGAAAAGTTTTTTTTTAAACTTCAAAGATCAAGAATGATTTATGTTATTTTGTTTTCTATTTAGGCTGCAATTTAAAAATCTTCAACAACCAAGAGTTTGCTGCTCTCCTGGCCCAGTCAGTCAACCAAGGGTTCGAATCTGTTTATCAGCTGACCCGTATGTGCACAATTAGAATGAGTTTTGTCAAAGGTTGGGGAGCGGAATACAGGTTTGAAACGTTCTACAGTTTATGCAGCCTTACTCAAGCAAAATTTACATAAAGCTTAAATAAAATAACTACCATTATTAGGTTCACTGCATTTCTCAAAATTATAACAAAAATCAAATGCATAAACTTTAAAATTTAAAAAATTTGAAATAAAAAAAAGAATTTTCATAATATTAGAGGCTACTAATGAGGGATAATACAGTATATAGGCATATTCTTTTAAGGGTTTGCTTAAAAGCGGTTCACACACATTTTCCAGGCTTTTCCTTGCCAAAACTAAAAGACTCTGCTTATGAACCTATATATATATAGTTGTAAAGTAAATATTTTACTGAAGATTATATTTAAAAAAAAAAAATATATAAATTCTGAAGTGTAGAAATACTTGCAAGGCTGTTTGGCTGAGGCCATGTGATATTATTTGCCCAATCTGTATTTGAGTGTTATTTTCCTAACTCGGATCAATCAATCTTTTAAAACATTTCTCAATGTCTCTTCTCAGGCGACAGACTGTGACAAGCACACCCAGCTGGATTGAGATTCATCTCAATGGACCACTGCAGTGGCTGGACAGAGTCCTCACACAAATGGGATCACCAGGCTTGCCCTGCTCCTCCATGTCCTAGACTGTCCCTGTGCCATTCTCATCTGGTTTCGTAAACCTCTCCCATGTGTCAGTATTTGTGGACTCAGCTCATGAACTTCCTCCCCTATAACTCATGCAGGATTATTCACCAATTTGTCAACAGGACTCCTCAATTATCGCCTCGTCAGGTGTCATCGTGGATTTAAATATAGTACCAACAGCTTTTGGCCTCCAAATGGATGTTGGTTCACAACCACTGCATTATTATTCTTCTTACAGGACAGGCGGATATTCAGACTGTGAAAACCTGGACATGTACATATTAAAACAAAAGGATTATGTGTTAAATCTAATTCATAAGCATGTTTCCAGTACCTGGATAGTGTAAATATTAGAGGAGGACTTTTTCTAGTTTGCTACTGGACCGTTCATCTTAGGTGTGTTTCATTTTAATTTTGTTTCTTTTATTCTTTAAATTTCAGGAATTAAAATTAGCATGACTCATTATTAATTATTTGCTGTTTTTACTGCATTAAATTATCACAGAGGCTTGTCACTGGTCTAGCTACAAGTTTCTTTTTCATTTCACCGGCCAACCAAAAAAATATACATCCAGCAGCACTCAAAATTTTTCATGTTTATCTTGTTTTAATGGAATTTTTATCCGTAACTATCAAGTTATCAAATTGTAATAACTTATTAGAGTTAAATTCTGCTCAGGAAGGTTGTGCAGTCAGAGGTGTGTGCAGTAGTTTATTCAAAGGATTTAGCACTTTAATTTATAAATTTGTCTTATAATGAAGTTTTTCAAACATTTTTAATGAAAACATAAGCAAATAAGATGTTAAAGAACAATGCTCTTTGTTTATAGACTAATTAACTGAAAATTTCCATAAATTTTAATATTGTTTTCAAATGAGCATTATAAAATAAAATCCTTCATTGTGTAGCATTTTTAAAATAAATACAAATTTACCACTTGAATTTTTTTTTTTTAAATCCACAATTAAAAACTATGTTCCTTGGTATCACAAACTTCATCTGATTCAACTATTACTGGCATCATTGCATGTCTCCCCTTCATCTTCCAGAACATCTTTTTAGTTTGAAACTGAAATGAATTCAATTTGCAAAATAGATCTAACTGTTGTGTGGGAATTTTCCTCAATAAATAGTCGAATTCCAAATATTAGATAAATCTGTTTTCAAAAGGTATAAGTATTTTTTTTAAAATAGAATTCCTTCAAACCAGTGAAGACCTTGTCTTCCCAATTTTAAATTCTCTTTGTGTTATGACAGAATGATAAAACCATGAGAAATTTTTGCACACTGAATACAAGTGGGGCAACTAAATTAGACTGTCCATTGTTAACTCTATCACAGCACACCAGTGTGCCATGGTGGCCTGTGTATTTGATAAGCATCATTCTGAAAAATGATTGTGTAGCACGGATACATTTTCAGTTATCTAAGCTCTTGTGAAAAAGATAACTGATTGTGTAAAACACCCCTACCCCACTCCTTTTCCGCCCTAAAATGGGAGAAATTTTTTTTTCTTTTCCTTGTATTTGCCATAGCTCTGAGTTGATCCCAGTCTTGATTCGCATTGTTTTTCTTATCACAAAGTGTCTATATATTTGCTGTTAAGTCTTAACTCAAGTATTTTTTATATTCTTTTTTAAAGAGATACATCCGGTGTTAAACTATTGTGACAAAGATAATAATATTATAAAATTATGTATACCATGCTTTGCTTTAATCATGTGTTGTTTTTTCTATGTGTGGTCAAAACAGTTGTACATGTGGTGGTCTCTACCAAGGATAATCTTTTCACATTAGTTTATTCATATACTTTTGAGTGTAAAATTAGATTGATATACATGATGTTTGGTTGTTTTTTTTCTTTTGTTTCTAAATAAATATTTGAAAATTGCATACTGTTAGTGTAAAGATTACTTTTATGAATTGTTATCATTTGGCACTTATTGTGCAAGGGCAGAATTCTCGCACAAGGCACTCCTCGAGCTTGTTTAAAGATTTGTTTGAATTTTTAAGTTGTATAAATGAAGTGTGAGTCGATGCTCTCATAATTAATCAGATAAACCAATTGATTGAACTTCTTGGTCATCAACTGTTCACATCAGCATAAAGCCATTTTAATTATTCAAGGAAATTTTTGCAGCCCTTTTGTGTGTGAGTATCTTGTGCATTTTGATGCTCAAAAGCTGCATGTCAAATTCATCACAATGCAAAAATTTTTTTAAAGATTTTGATACCAAGGATTCATGGAAAACCAATGAGACTTTTGTGTTGAACATGCTGAGGTGTGCCTTGATTTGACCTCCAAACCAAATCTCTCTTGAATACAGAGTAGTGTTGAATCTATTTCATCTGTGGAATTGATGGGTCAATTTTTTGCACAGGGAGATTGTCTTCTAGTGTGTAGATCATATTATTGTTGCATGGCTCTGAACATTTTTAGTGTGAGGTCATGTGACATATTTCCATAATTTTTTGAGATGGAGAAATAATTCACTGTCACTATATTGGTTTCAAAATGCAGAGTTGTGCTGTGCAGAGTTCATTTGACTATAATAGTGCCAGTGTATTTGAATAAGATACAAAATTGTCCTGTCGGGAGAAAAAAAATTACTTTCTCTATCAAGTTGTGCATCTAAAAAAAATTTTAAAACAACCTTTTCTAAGGGTTACTTATTGTTAAAGTTTTCCAATCTTGAAAATTTAATGATAAACAAGCTGAGGGTTAGTAGCTATTGTTTCATCTGATAACCGATTTAATCAGCACATATTTAGCATTAAATAAAATAGCTGTTAAAAAAAAAATTTCAGGTTCCTTGATAACAGAATTTAATTAAAATTTGCATCTGTGGAATAAATTTAATTATTTAAAAAAAAAGATTTTTTTTGCCCCCCAAAAAAATAATTAACTCTTAAAAATATGACTATACTTTACTTTCAATAATTTTGTTCACTTAAAATTTTGTTAATAAGAAATCTGTATTGAAATATATTATACTGTGGAAACACAATGGACATGCTCTTTATTGTTAGAAATATATTTACAAAATGTAACTTGTTAGGAGTGATTCTCTCAACCTGTGCTTGAGGTCCATCAAGTGTCATCTTGAGAGGAGGTGGGATTTGCAGACCTATTTACCCTCAAACTCTTAAAATCGTACAATATTATAACATAATCATCGTTCAATACATTCTTTTTATAGAAAAAAAAAGTGCAGTATATATAATGTATACAACTCAAAATCGTACATTGCAGCCAAAATCGTAAGAATAAACAGGTCTGGATTTGGGTGATGACTATGTAAATTTGAATATTGTTTGAATTTGTTGAGATTAATCTCTTAATTTCAATTTATGAGTTAATTTTGTCACTTGCTAGGGTCTAGTTTACTCTCCTGGTTTATTTCAATTGTATTTTTTTTTTTTTTTTCTGCCTTTAAATTCAAACATAAAATTGAACAGATGATGGTTTTATTTTTTGTGTGTCTAGTTAGAAAAAATACTTTTTTTAAATTTGAATATTGTTTGAATTTGTTGAGATTAATCTCTTAATTTCAATTTATGAGTTAATTTTGTCATTTGTTTGGGTCTAGTTTACTCTCCTGGTTTATTTCAATTGTATTTTTTTTTTTTTCTGCCTTCAAATTCAAACATAAAATTGAACAGATGATGGCTTTATTTTTTGTGAGTCTAGTTAGAAAAAATACTTTTTGGTCATATCTAAAGTGCCATTTCTGTTTGATGTTGGAAAGTGTTTGCAAAGAAATGCCTGATAGCTTTTTATCATTGTGGCAGGGGACAATATTCTGCTGTGCTGAGTTATCAGGGGCCTCCGTTGTGTCGGTGATCTAAGAAGGCCAGGAGCCACTTGTTTTAGGATATATTTATTGTAGAAATTGTTACCAAATGTCTTACCCCCATC